AGATTCAAAATGTCCTTCAGATAGCTAGCTAAAGCAACAACTTAACTTGACAATTAAACAGCAAAAACTCGAGATCTCACCAAGATTAGCCAAGCGTTGCTTCCTTCCAGTTCCAGGAGGTCGACCTCTGGCTCGTTTAGGTGCATTAGGATCAGACATTGAAGAAGAGTCCTTAGACTTCTTAATAACACAAGGCCTTGGAGAAAGGCCTAAAGAGACTTTTCCATCATGAGCATACTTTCTTGGCCGTCCACGTTTCTTCTTCACCATTGGCTCCGATGGCGCCGGGGATGGCTGTGACAGAGGCGGCTGCACCGCCGCAGCAGAAGCAGAGGAATCAATCCCCATGTGAATACTTTGGCCAAAATCGGAGTGCCTGTGCTGCTCAGCCATGGAGAACGGAGGACCTGCGTTGGTAGCCTGAGGATGATGAATGTTAGGGTTTGGCATTGGCCTCATTCCGGGAGGTGGCGGCGGCGCGTGAAGTCCACTCGCGACCTGGGAAGTTGCGAGATTAGTAAAGGCTCCTCTATGAAGATAGTACTGAGTATGCGAGCCTGGAAATGCCATTGCTTCTCTTCCGTCCATGCATCAAAAACTCTAAATTACAAGTCTTCAACAAAAAAAAAAAAAGGAGAGATTTTTAAACGTGTTCAAAAAAAAAAGGAAACTTTAATTCCCCAGAAATTGTAAACCCTAGTTCCCCAAAGCAGTAAAGAGAACAACAATGGCGGTTTTTAAATTACCCAGTAATCAAAGTCGAGTTTTTTTATTTTCTCAGCTGTAAGCTCAAGATCCAAATTGTATCTATCAACCCTAGAAAACAAAAAGAAGCTAATATCTTGAGTTCACTTAGAACTCGATTGAAGAATTGAACAACAGGGGAAAGTAAGTAGCTTCTCCTACTGCTACAGTGTCTAGCAAAGAAACCAAATCTCCCCAAGGGAAAAAGCTAGATTTGATTGAGAAATCTAGGGTTTCTGAGATGGAGAACACAATGTGTAACAGAGGAGAGACAAAGGAAGATGACAGAAGAGACAAATCAGGGAGAAGAGAACGAAAAAAAAAAAGACAAAGAGATTTATAATTTTGATTTTGATTTTGATTTTTTAAAAAAAATATTGTGAACTTTTGAATTGAGAGAGGCCTACTCTGAATGTTTGAAGACCAAAGAAGAGAAGGAGAGTGACGACCATTGTTTTCTATTTATATATTTCTTCAATTTATTTAGTCATCAATAAAATTTCAGTTGACAAAAAATAAAAAAAGATATATTCATATTTGTTTTCTTTCTCACTTTTTATAGGATATTATATTAGTTTGTTATAGAATATTTTTAATTGAAAAGGATATTTAGAACTTTCTTTAATGATTTGTTACAAAATCTAATGTTTCAATTAAATCTTTGACTGAAAACAAAATTTATTAGTAATTGATGCTATATTCATTATTAATATTAAATTATTTTCATGTACTTAAATTTTGTGCTTTGTTCTCATACAAAAATTTATACTATGCTTTTAAGCCCTCTTAACTATGTAAAGTTTTGTTTTGTCGAAATCTAAATACCAAGAAAAAAATTACTTGATATTATAGATTACTAGTCGGTTGCCCGCGCTACGCGCGAGAGT